GGGGGCGCTGAGTATTCCTTTTTTATCGTGAACCGTGCCTTTAGAGACCTCAAAATATCGTGAACTGTACCTTCAGTACTCATCAGATCTCTCTTTCAGTTTCTACAAACAACTTGGACAATCAGATGAAGAACGCAGTAAACAATACGAGAGGCTTTGTGAAGAAAAGATCCGGTGGCGTTCTGAGCTCTTTAGAGCCCTTCAAAGAGCTTTGTACGTGATCAGTACCGCAGTGAAATTTCATTACCGCTCACTATCGATAGTGACCCACAGTCAAACGATTCCAGGCGCGATCTTCGAGGCTACGAATTCACCGTCAACGACGATGGATCGAATTTCACTTGGATTCCAAATAATGTAAGCAGATCAGATTGAATATACCTTTTGTTGTTTGAATGTAGTTTTCTACAGCGAAAATCAAAACGGCCCACGTGCGATGGCAGCATTATCGGTGTTAAGCGTCCAACCATCGACAACTCTACGGATGACTCCTTTGAATTAATGTAAACTAATTCCTATTCCACTATTCCACCTCGTTTATTGAAGATAAAAGATGGTTATATAGTTGAGGACACAACAGAACTAGCGCGTTACGGCAAAAAACGCTGCTCAATCATGCACATGTGACCGTATGCACTGTCAGCACGGAGAAGGAAAGAGCCCCATAGTTCTATGAAGCATCATCGTAAAGAGCGTACATCAACGGCAATGCATTCAATTTCCGCTATATCTCGTCTCTATGGCCGTTTGTCTTTCTTTTGTAGTAGATTGGCGATTATCGGGTGCACCATGAGGAATTCTCACCAAGGACCGCCTTTTGCCTTTTCGCAGCCAACATTCAAGAGGGGTCATATCTTCAGGAAGGAAAATTCCCAGCTTCACATCCGACTCTGTGAACAGAAGACCTTTTGCGACGTTTTCTGAGTTCTGAACCAACAATGTAACCTACCGTATCAAAATCAAAGGCACAGTTCACAATAATAGAGGTACTCGTTTTTATTCGAAAAGCGGAAGTATAGAGTGGGAATGATTCCTCGGTAGTGAAGGAAGCGAGAGAGTTCGCCGAGTCTGTGAAAGATAAAGCTTCTCAAAAGTAGGAAAAATAGAGGTTGTACGAGATTGCCAAGATGGAAATAACATGGAAGGGGTATTCGGACGAGATTACAGTGCTGCATTTGAGCTGGCTACGTCAAGCCAGAATTGTACAGTTTTCCCTTTTACTGTCTCTATGGACCATGACAAGTTGTTCGAACTTCCTACATGGGTTCCTTTGTGGTCGGTGGTTGGTGCAGCCTGTACAATGCCGGTGAAACTCGTCCGAGGATACACACGAGCCAATCTTTGAGCCTTTATAACTTCCTAACTAGGCCGTTTTCCGAGCTGGTAGTGCCAGATATGGTATACGCGTGGGCCTCAAATTCATCCTGTGGTGGGGGGAGGAAATCAGAAACCATTTTTATCGTGAACTGTGCTTTCAAGAGCTGTATGTTCAGTGAACTCTGATGACGTCAACTTTGTTTGTAGTGAACGGTACTTTTTAAAGGCGTACAAAATTGAAAGGGCAAGCAAGAAGGTTACTTTTGATGATAGCCGCGATAGTATAAAATCTAATAAAGTCATGAGAAAAATAACGATACCTGAAAGAGAGTCACCATCGCAAAACTCTTCCTTTATCGTGAAGAAATCGGCAAGTACTCGACTGACACCTTCGAAACAGGGCTGTTCCTGAAAAAAAATTGTCGAGTTTTTGAAACTATCCCATAAAAAGCTCAAAGCTAAATAACCTCGTCCCAGTTAACATCCTTCACGAGTCCGGCAATCATAGCCGGCAGACCTTCTAACTGTGGAGTGTATCCGCTGACTAGGGAGGGAATAGATGCCAGATATAATTGCCGCAGATCTTGTTCACCATCGGGTCGCTTTATTTCAAGCGAGAAGTAATCGTGAAGCATTGGAGCGTGGGCGTCCAGCAGTTCCAGTGCCTCCACTACAAAAAGGCAAATGAAAATTATTTTGCAAATTGGGAAATATTTAGGATTCTGACGTAAATTCCCTTTTCGAAGAACCATCAAAGCGATATTTTTCTGAGAAGCTAGTCACATTTTGAATATCAGGCATAAACACAAGATAAAACACTATGTGACGAATTCAACAGACGAATTTTAATGCAGCTGGGGTTTCAAACATTTTGAAAATTGTAATTACACCTTTCCCCAATATCGTTTGCTATATTTATTTATAAAAACTGAGGAGGGCAATGTTGTTCCGCCCTACAACGGCGAGTTGAAAACATCTATCCATCCCGTTTTAGAGATTTGCGGCTATTTGCCGATAAAGTTAAATCTCGATTCACGGCTCAAACCGAGAGGACTAATTGGTCGGAATGTAGGGAGAGCAAGCAAAAGTCTCAACTTGAACTTTTGATGGAAGAGGAAACTTGCCAAAAAATTAATTAAGACCATTTGACTTCCCTAAGAAACAGGAATAATACAAACAATAAATTTTTGGAAAAAAATCTTTGGGATTGAAACAGATTATCCAGTGAGGTGAAAGTATATCTAACCGGGAACTCTGAATGACCAGAAGCTCATCACGTGTGGCCAACTTTTTGATGAATGTACAATTTTTTGCAATGAACTGAACTCAAACAAGAAATTAACCACTGAAAAATAATTATGGAATGAACGCACTTTCGTTTTCGCTTTCAAAACCTGCAATGTGTAGCAGCTCCAGAATATTTGCTCCTTCCTCTAGCTTGAATGAACCAAAGTTGCCAAAGCTGAATATTAGAGTCTGAAAAGTAAACCGGTATGCTTCTCATAGATTTTTATTACATTTCGACAGCATTATTAAATTTCATGAGCCGACTTCTCTGGCCTTTGATGCCTTTCAGATTCAGTTTTTCTGCCATCCTTGATTACTGTCGGGGTCTTTCCCTCGCGCTTATGTTGGAAACTATTGAAATTTGAGTTATTCAATAATTGTCAAGCATGTTCATACAATTAGGTCATTCAGAATGTAATCAGGAGCTGTATTTGTAAGCAAACCTCTAAAACGGACAGGTTCTTTTATTGGTTTCTCAGGAACCACACCGGTGAAAACCACTGCGGAGCGTTACCTACACGCCACCCTTAAACTGTTGAAGAAAAAATCCTCCTATAGCGATTCCAACGAAATTCTTGCAAATTAGAAAAGACCAGTCCAGTTTTTGTGCTATTAGGCGCTGTGATAAAATGTAAGGCAATCCCAGTTACCTTAATTGAGACGCCAATCACTGAATTACTGAGTACTTGTTCCACTGGATCTACTTAACTACAACTGCAATGTATACACGAGTTTAGTGGTTAATTTCAAAACAGTAACCGGACCACCGTCCAACATTATGTCTTACTGTTCACAAGGAAATTGGTCTGAATGCTGCGAATTAGAAACCTGATAGAACAGCTCCTTCAAAATCCTATTCAAACGTATAGCGTACAAAGAAGTTCCGTGTTGTAGAAGTAGTAACTTCGCTGACACGCATCCCACAAATATTAAGGTTTTGAAAACATCCCTGAAATATTCACAACGTATCTTGTCAATTTAGAGTTGTACTAAATAAGGCAAACAGTAGAATTTGAAAAGATTCTTCTTGAAATCGAAACAGGAGCAAAAGGAAGGAGTAGACAATTAAATAGTTTTCCTTAGCTCTGCGATGAGCGCAGTGGTAGAGAGAGTATCAAGGCAAAAAGGGACGAAAGTCTCATCTCCACTGGTGGTTCCCTCCCCTCCTGGGCTAAAGGGGGAGAGCGCGGGCCAAGATGTACACTATTTCCCTCAACATGAAAGGGCTTTAAGATTCAAATATCTATGTTACCTTAGATTTTGCGATGATTCGTCGCAAATCTTTCTCCTTAATGACACCAAAGATTCGAAATTGAATACCCTCTGGCCATCATCATCAGTCTGAATATATGACAAGTAGAAACGCTCAACAAGGTCAAAATTTCATTTTAAAAGGGAAGTAGTAGAGCTCTTGAGCTACCTCATAAAGACTGTCGTCTTGGCTGCTAGCAACCTGGACCACTTCTATTGAAGATGAAGATTTAGATGCAGCAGGGCTGGAGGAAATGAATTCATCCAAACGCCGTTCTTTGTGATCCACCCGGACCATCTGATAGTAAAACTGATTCGCTTCTTCCGATGAAAAGGCAGAATAGTTCAGAAGGAAGTTGGTTAGGAACTATGTATTAGAATATGGCAAACTGTTCGTGCAAGATTGCAAAAATTGAAATCCAAATAGGATTCTAACCTACCGTGTATTCTGCACGTTTTTTCGCACCAGTAGAACTTTGAGGCTGTTTGTCACAGTTGGCTGAAGGGCTGCGTAGTGAATTAAGTGGCTGCAACAAATCATTATTGTTTCAGTGAAGAATGGAAACTTGCGGTCTATTATGATCATTATAAAGGGTATAATCTAGTCCATCAAATAAAACAAGAGTTCTCAGGAAACAAGTCGGTAATCTACCCCTGATGTTTCTACTTACATGAAGGGCGTTACCGTCGTAGGATTGCTCCTGCCCCTCCGTCAGAAAATCATCTTTCGGTTCACGAACATATTTTTATTTGTAGGGTGAAAGTGATGTAGTGGCAAGTGGCGCACTTCACACACGCATGGTCACGGTTCTGCAGGATCGGTTAACTGGAACCGGACTCGTCCGGAAACATAAAAACAGTGATTTCCATATTGGCTGGCCACCGTAAGTCATCGTTTAGGCCACATACGCATTCAATACGCCCCTACGAGTTGAATGGAGTCGAATGCGTGGGCGCATCCCTCACAGGGATTGATTAACGCCCCAAGACTTTAACCTTTATTTTCACATTTATTCCCCTAGTTCTTTTATTGATAATGTGAAGAATGAACAGCCTATGGCAGCCTTCAGTGGTGTTCCAAGTTATTAGTGATTAAAAATTGTAACTACCAGTTGCTAACTACTTAACCCTTTTCCCTTCAAGAACGTCACCTGTACCACGTGATTATCAGGCAACACAATCCCAATTCAGTGATTAAGACAAGATATGATGTACAAGTCACCTCACTTATAGCTTGTGTTTGGCCAGGAATTCTCAGAATCTGCGTTGACGTAAGTAGGCTGCCACTTGAGCTGCTGCTGACAGTACGAGGTGCCAGTTCCCGATCGAAAATGTCGCTCAGGCTTTTCTGGATAGCCTGGAACAAATGATCTCGACGATATGAAATGAAGAGGCTTTAATGTAAATCGAACTCGTTTTGGAGATCGTCAGCCATCCAATCGTTTTAAGAATTTTAAGGGTGAGATGATGTACAAATGTAACCATACCACGAGAAAATCCTCAACTCTTACAATTGTTTTCTTTAACGATAACGACCCAACTGGTATCCAAACGTTCAATACCTCGCAACTTTACTCATCTTAAGTAATTTTCGGTTCATTTGCGACTTTATCGTTCCCACGGATTCTTCGATCTCCCTAAAGGAGTAGGGCTTGCCTTTCTTGGGAATTGCGAACCAAAAAAGGCGAACTCTACCCATTGAGGGAGTTCGAAGAGTGTGAGTTGTATGAATTTCTCTAGGTACAAACCTTCTGAATATCTTCAATGATTTCTTCCTCCTCTAGAAACATCACGGTCTGCTTCGTAGGATGCACATTGACGTCGATGCGCGATGGATCAATCTGCAAAAAAAAGTTGCTTTCCTATACACTACGCCTTTGCTTACTTCATTTAATATGTGGTTTAGGGACTATTTGAAAAACGTTCTCGTGCTAATCGTATTATTTTCATCATAAAACTATTCATGATCAGAGAAAGGAGTATAAAAACTAACCATCCAAAACAGAAGGAAACCACAAAGTAGCAAAGCACGTGAGAAAGGGAAGCGAAGTTATTCGCAAAAAAGAAAATAGGATACATCAGAGAAAAAGAGGGAGCAACCGCTACGAAGAAAAAATGAAAAAGGAGAAAAAAGAAAAGTGACGAACATAGAGTGAAAAAGCAAGAAGTAGCGTGGAAGACGATAAAAACAAACCGCGAATAATACAATCTATCATGGTTACCCACCGTTAAGGCTACTAGAGCGAAGGTACACACGAGGTCGCGCATACCGAATAACGAATCCACAGCAAATTTGAGAGGTGGGCATTGAACCAAGCGACCATTGATGAACAAGAAGAAGGATCTCTGGCGATTCTGAACAAGAAAGCTTAAAAGCCTAGGAAACCTGCCTCCTAAATTAAACAGTCTACCTTTTTAGCTTGCACACTTCGAGCTGTACATGAAGACACCGGCGGTGTGAGAGATACTTCGACGTCATAATGCAATCTTTGAGAAGAATGTTTGAATTCAATCATATTCTGAAAACCAAATAGGACATGGAATGATTCAAACAGTATAATCACAATTATCATGAAGAAATAGTGAAATCTCGAAGACTATAAGTCTTTAATGAGTTCTTGTAGGAGGCACCGAGAAAGAGAAAGTTTGAGGAGGCAAAGAGGGGTGCCAGTGTACTCTCACAGAAGGCAACTACCAATCAAGCTCCTCTTCGTCTAAAGAACCATTTCAAGTTTTCTTTCCGCATGAATATTCAATTGTCAAACTTTCATCTACAATAACTGCCGTGACATATCACAACTTTAATTGTTCACCGACCTTGACTTTCTTTTTTTTNTTTTTTTTCCTTTGAAAAGCTTTACAGTTCTTTGCAGGTCTTTCTTTTTTTCAAATGGCATAAAATTCGGCTTCTAATGCACCACTATTTTCTCGCAGATATATCGTTCGCATGACTTACCTCTCCACAATCCTTCCCAAGGAGGGCTCTGATGATTTCAGCCCTTGTACCTTTACCACTGGTACGGAAATCCGCACCGCTCCCTCCACGTCGCATTCCAAATGAAATATCCCTGAACATGCTTTCCATTTCTATGAGGGATTGGGGCGCAACCATCATCTGGAGCCAACTAGATAGTAAAACCCAATAAAACCCACGGACGATGTACAGCGTAACGCATAATGACGTCTGCTATTCGGCTCGTTTCGTCGGCATAATTCCGAAAGGCCTTCTTCCTATAATCACAAAAAGCGGCTTGGTTTTGCAATCTTATAAAGAAGCACTCAGAGTTATCCTTTGTGGTTCTAATGAAATAATCGAAATTCAATCGTACATTAGTCAGAGAGGAATAAAGTCAGCTATCCGGCCCCCAAGAAAGACAAAATAGTCGAGAGGTTCCTAGCAGTGGGAAAGGATTGCAGTATTTTCGAAAACTGTCATCTCACTTTCCTCTAACAGCTCGTTTTTGCTCCTTCTCGCCCTCATTGCTTTATAATTTACATTTTTGTGATACAACTCGTCAGCAAAGGCCTGGATATGTGCAATCTTTAGGCTTCCACATACTCAGGTTGACTGAGCACTCGAGCCCCAAAGTTGGCTGCGACTTTATTTATGAAGAGTTTCGTGACCGAATATCAAGAAAAAAAAATCAGAACTAGAAAAAACAAATAAATAAAATTTGGCGTACAAAACCGCATTTGCAAAGTTATACTTGGAGAAATGTCGTTAGGTGTAAATAACCTGTTTGGGCAATTGTAGAAAAGATCCTCTGCCACTATGCAGGTGCCATCTAGTCCAGCTGAAGCTTTGATGAACTCCGGTTTTCCATCTAAAAAGTATCGTCTCAGAAAGCGAAAAGTTAGCATATGTTTTTGAAACCTGAACATAGCGAAAGAGAAGTTTAAAACGACCTATTATACCTTTGTACCTCGCTTGAAATGCGCACTGTTGATCGGCTGTTTTTGAGGTTATGGTGACCTGAACCATAGCTTAGAGCAGTGTGTTCTGCCATAATGACAACTAAAACGTGACTATCGGGGTAGTTTTCAAAAAACAGCTCAAAAATTAGCTTTTTTCTTTGAGATCCTAGTTGTAACTTCAATAATGAACAATTACAAAAACCTCATTTGGGTTATCTCAGTTTCCATTATCCATTTATAAACATTACAACTCCAATCTAAATACCTTCGCCACATGACTTATCGATGACAAAGCTTCACCACGGAAGCCGTACGTCTTCATTGATTGGAGGTCCTCGAATTTAGATAATTTTGAAGTTGTAAAACGCTCACAGACAATGTCGAGGTCATCCTTCTGGATGCCTTTTCCGTTATCCTAGAAAGGAGCGATTCAAATCGATCATTAACAACGCTCTACTTAAAAACTTTGTTCGAACCTGAACTTGTAACAAAGTTAGTCCACCATCTCTCACTGTGACGACAATTTCAGTTGCACCAGCATCCAAGCTATTCTCTATTAGCTCTTTTATCGCATTTGCAGGCCGAACCACGACCTAAAAAGTCAAAAGTCGGTTCTACGTGGGGAACTTCGATTCTTTTGTTAAGAACCATTAAAAATCTATACATCTCTTCTTAAATCCAGATGCCCTTAGTACGTATACCCGCTTTGCAACCCCAGGAATATACAAGTATAGGCAGCTTTGGGTGAACGATCACCCTCAGCGCCTCTTCTTGTAAAAAAATCTAATCTTTTATAGTTTGACTCCTAGACTGGGAACACTATTTCCATTGTTAACCAAATTCTCACTCTGAATGGGATCCCACTCAATATCAGCTACTGCGCAAGCATTTCTCCTCTTCAGTTCATAGACGAAAACTCTTTCTAATTCCATCGATTACGTGTTTGTCCTCTTACTTTTCGTTTCTCTTTCTATCCACCCCCCACCTCCACCCCACCCCATATTCCCCACCGCATAGCGGCTCCAACTTTGTAGTGCGAGTTCTCAATATTAAATTGTTTGGATTAGTTTTGATTACCTCGCCTGCAGCTATCCGATTGACGACATCTTCTGGTAGTCTTCGTATGATTCCCATGCTGGATGTAGCAGCACACAACGCCACCACTTCAAGTTACTCCGGGAATGCTCTGGATTTCACGAGCTGCTCTTAATAACACGCATGAAAGGATTAGCTAACTCAGAGCTTGATTATTTGATGAGAACGTCAACCATGACAGGAATTATGAGCGGGAAGTTTTGGTTACTTAACGATAAGAATGATCTAATTCGTGGTTCTATGATTTCGTCAGATAATAAGCATAAATTCCTGTTTACAGCTTCACGAGGAGACAAATTTCAGCAGTGCCTTGGAAGGGATGCACGTTCAGGAAGGGTACCTATAGGGAAAGAGGAGAGACCGTCCATGAAATGCAATGCAGCATGTCTACCCAGACTCACAACCCCCAGACTGTGAAAACAAATCGTTCAAAACATTATCCGTGAAGATTAATCAGGGTATATACGAATGTGACATTATCGTTTCTGAAGCACTTATTGGAGCTGAGTTGGCGTCAAAACTCCCCAAACGAGTTCAAGTGAACTGTATGGTATTAACCCAAAACCCCCATTGCTTCATGAAATTTGCATGACGGTTCTCTTTTTAGACACCAGCCCCCTTAAGAAGATTGCTGGATTAGTATATATAAAATGAGATTAGTAGAGGTCGGTGTCTACGCCAATAATGAACGCTATTTCTTTTTCGGGATGATAACAGCTTTATAACTGAACTGTCTCTTCACATCAGATTATAATCACATTAATCCATGGAGCGGTATATTACTCGGTACATTCCATTCTAAGCAAGTAGAGCGTAGAAGCGACTTGTAAGCATACATTTTTACTTCAGAACAAAAGCTCTTTTTCAGCACACATTCAATTTTATACAGAACAAAACCGAAAAACCAGTAAAGAATCGGTTACGCAAATGAATCACGCATTTCAGCAATCAGAATAAATGTTGGCGTACATCACAACAGCAAATACATACCGCTGTACATCGGAGACAGAACCGAACTGCATTGATTACAACCAAAAATGGAATATAATAATAAATGAAAGTGAATTACTTAAGAAGTGCTCGTTGCAGTAAGAGAATTGGTAAGACAGTTGAGGAACAAAAAAAAAAGCCAAGCGGGGACAAGGTATGACAAGACTAGAAAACTGAATTATTAGTATATGTGGTTTTCAATTTACAATATCTAGAAGAAGCTCGAACAACAATCATATAGAATCCCATAATCTCCTGCCTCAAACGTATAACAGTCATAAGTCCCATAATCTCCTGCTTCAAACATGTCTTCAAAGCACCAACAAGGGCTAAGTTACAATAGAAAAAGCGCAGCCGTTGAGCAAATATGACCACTTCACAGCTCATATTGACTAGATCGCATGATTAGAGCGATAATTTGATTCAAGCTGCTACTTTGGTCTTCAAATCGTAACCTACATTGGAAACCGGTGAACCGAATACACTGCACAATAAAGCGGTACTATTGAACACAGTCGTTACATTCCAAATCGATAATAAGAAAGGGTTACACAACTAAAGTCCTAAAAAATCAATGAAGACGATAAAAACATTATCAGAGAGTGAATATAAAATATCCCAATTGGAGAGCAAAACACCTGGAGCTTCATTAATCTTCTGCACACTTATAGTGCTTCGGTCCACTCTTCCTCAGAAACACCTTCCATTTCATCCTGCTCTAGAGTGCGGTCTTCCAGTATTTTAGATGACCAGCTGTTTTGTACCTGAGAAAACAAATGCTTTTCACATTATAAGGTACCAAAAAATAAAAGAAAACCCACTTCCTTCCGATTTGGTTCAACCTTCGGTTCATGGGCATGTTCTAGGCCGGAAACTGCGGGCTTCGGGGGAGCACGAGACGGAGTCACGTACGCTACTGGCTTTGCTGAAATAGCCTTACTAACGTGCTGCTTTTAACTCCTAACCCTATTGAGTAAAGTTCCAATAAACTGGTATTCTCTGAGTTCAACTTCTAACCTTGCATAATGTGCTAATGTACTAACCTAAAGCGCTGACCCCTTCCGGCATCAGACTTTCAAACAGCGGCGTTTTCGAGCTACCAGCTAACCATTCCTCTGCCGTCATAACTGGTCGCCACGTAACAAGAGCATCAGGAAATAGATCTGATTGAAAGACGTCTTTCTAAAAAAGGTATACGAAGATGTGCCTCAGATCCGGAGGTAATATCACTGCTCAAACTGATAGTGAATGCGAGAGAGCCATAAATTTCTAAGGCTTCAAAATAAAATCGGAGAAGAAATTATAAGACACAGAGCACTTCAAAAGTTTCTCAACTTTGTATAAGAAAGACACTTCGTGCATTGCATTGTAAATTATACCTAAATATCTGTCTAGCAAAACATGACCATAAGAGAAATTGAAAGGCTACAGGAAATTTGATTTCTAAGGACACTACTAACACTCGAAAACAGGGCTACCTTGACTCTCGGCACTCTGAATATAACTTGTTCCAAAGTTCTCTCTGTCAGTCGCCAAGCCCGTTGGAACTCAACAGCCATGACATCACACCTGAACAAGAAATGGTCTTATCGTACGAAAAAAAAGGGAGCGAGAGTGTTAGCATTTATTCCAAGCGCTTTCAAATGAGTACTATCACAAGCCATGAGCGTGAAACTAGACTGGCCTCTTTTTGTTGTGGAATGCAATAGCTTGTCCGATAAGAGGGGCAGTGTAAGGGGTAAGCGGAAGGAGATACGGAGAATCACAGCTGACCTCGTACATGTTGATCGTGCGATTACCCTATAAAAACGAGGAGCATAGGAAAAAAGTAAGGCGATTCAACCATAACCCTACCTTGGCGCTGAGGAATAGCACAGATGAATCATAGTCGTAATGAGGAACGAGGGGTTGGGTGCCGCTGTCGATTTGCTGNTGAGGAATAGCACAGATGAATCATAGTCGTAATGAGGAACGAGGGGTTGGGTGCCGCTGTCGATTTGCTGAGTGTAAATCTCTTCCAAAGACGAGGCATCAAACAATTGCACCTGTAATGAATGCAATCATCATACGTATACGTTCACGCCCCTTTGAGGCGAAAGAGCCGTAGCCTTGATCTGGAGAACGTTGAGTGAGAGAAGCCATCAAGGAGCTTTCTCAGGCCTTTCATTCATTTAATATTTATTTTCTTTAGTCGGTATTGAGCCCAAAAACACCTCCGCGAAAGGTACTTATAGTAGTTCAGCTAAGAGAAGCAGGACACACCTGACGTGAAGAACTCCTGGTCATTCCTACAACGATAATGAGCCGATCATCACATGCATAAAGAACACGCCCAGAATGCGCCCGATCAAGAACCTGCAAACATATTTAAATTGCTGATTTAATGGCAAGAGGTAAGATCATCAACGTTCGTAAAAGGTGCTGCGAAGCTTTGCCCCGAGTTCTATAAACAGACTAGGAGAGGGAACGCTATTTGAATGCTCTAAAAGAGGATTTTCTTAATTATTTCTACCTTTCTCTGAGCCAGCAAACAGTCATCGCCAAGTTGCGGTTGGTGCACATTCAACATGAGATCTTTGCCTACTGACACTAGCCGATGCCCATCCGAACTCCATCCCAACGCCATTACAGCTGCAGAATGCGAGACTATCCTGAATCAGAATAATAATGGAAAGAAGGAACAGGAAAAGGATCAAACTCACCTTCTTCTCCGCGTCAAGGTTTTCGACTCCCATATTTCTATAGAATTGTCTGATAGAGCCACAGCGAGTAAGTCAGAAGCCATCGGGTGCCATTGGAAGCATAAAATCTTTAAAAAGACAAACTTGTTCTTTTAGAATCTCATCGGCTTTTCAAAATTGCGACATCAGAAATTCTAAAACAGGATCTTTTTTGAACGCTACAATCATTCTCAACACTTGTGAATAATGAATTCGTAAAACGATTCGTCTTCCACAAGCTTTTCCCCGAACAAAGAAAATTATACGTTTCAGACCGTCCGAACAAGTAAATCAAAAGGCACACGATATTAGTTTTCGCAATTGGTTTTTCGCTGGAGGAAGCCACGCATATCTCCTCAGACAAACGATAAGACTCAATTTATATGAAGTGGACAGGCCTACCTTTTCGCCTCCAGCATTCAACACCTTCTCGGGATGCATCTCATTCCTTGGTCCATCGTCCCTCGTTAGACGCCAGAAATTGATAAGCCCAACATCTGTTCCCACTGCGAGTTGCTCATCATCAAAAGGATTCCAGTGCAAATCCGTAACCTGAACAAACATTGTCACAATCAAAAAAAAAAACAAAAAAAAAAAAAAAAAAA